ACAAAAACAATAGTGTTATCTTTATTTTTAATATGTATAAAGATTTGCTGTGCGCTTATGTTGCTGAGACTACCGTTCGTTATGAATATCAGATGTGAACTGTTTCAAGTGGATTAGAAAAAGTTGAGTTGTATATATTTTATTTAAAAACCCCTAATAATTCTGTATAACATTCTCGAGCAAAGACTAATATAAAGTCTTTGATGACGGCATGCATGGGGAATATATACATATGTAAGATTCAACTGAAGCCTGATTCATTAAAAAAATCATCATAACAATAAGGTTCATTTATTCTGATTTTTGTAATGATCGGAACTGTTTTATTCTAGTCTCCATATAAACCTTTCATCAGTGACTTGAACAGCGTATTTCACTTATAAAAACTAATATCACATATTTGGTATAAATAACATTTAATATAACATAATTCCACCACCTAATATTTTAGGATCGGTTCATATTTACGCTCAGTTGGTTCTTCAGTTTTTCAACAATTTTGTGCAAACGGTGCAAAAATAAAACCAAAAATATGTTTGTTGATGAAAAGCACACATATTTCTCCACGTTGCTTAAACATATAAATCATAGATATAGATAGATAGTAGATAGATATATAGATAGATCGACTCGATAGATAGATATAGATTATAGCTGATAGATAGCTAGATCGATAGATAGATAGATATATATAGCTAGATAGATAGATCGCTCTCGCTCGCTCGCTCGCTCGCTAGCTGCTCGCTCGCTCGCTCGCTAGCTCGCTCGCTCGCTCGCTCGATCGCTCTCGCTGCTGCTCGCTAGCTCGCTCGCTAGCCTCGATCGATCCTCGCTCGCTCCGCTCGCTCGCTCGCTCGCTCGCTAGCTCGCTGCTCCTCGCTCGCTCGCTCTCTGCTCGTCTCTCTCGCTCGCTGCTCGCTCGCTCGCTGCTCCTCGCTCGCTCGCTCGCTCGCTTCTCGCTCGCTCGCTCGCTCGCTCTCGCTCGCTCGCTCTCGCTCTCGCTCGCTCGCTCGCTCGCTCGCTCGCTCGCTGCTAGCTCGCTCTCTAGCTCGCTCGATCGCTGCTCGCTAGCTCTCTCGCTCGCTCGCTCCTCCTCGCTAGCTCGCTCTCTCGCTAGCTAGCATAGACTAGATTAAGATAGCTAGCTAGCTCCTTAGATCGATAGAATAGATCAGCTGATCTCTCGGATAGATAGATCGACTCGCTCGCTCGCTCGCTCGCTCGCTCGTGCTCGCTCGCCGACTACTAGCTCGCTCGACTAGAGTGCCTCGCTCGCTCGCTGCGTCGGCTACCGTATCCTCGCTCGCTCGATCTCGAGCTAGCTCGCTGCTAGCTCGCTCTGCTCGCCGGTGTTAGTGCGTCGCTCTCAGCTCGCTCGCTCGCGCGGCTCGCTCGCTCGCTCCCTCGCTCGCTCGCTCGCTCGCTCGCTCGCTCGCTCGCTTCCTCGCTCGCTCGCTCGCTCTCGCTCGCTACGCTCGATCGCTCGCTCGCTCGCTCGCTCGCTCGCTCGCTAGCTCGCTCCGCTCGCTCCTAGCTCGCTCGCTCGCTCGCTCGCTCGCTCGCTCGCCGCTCGCTCGATCGCTCGCTCGCTCGCTCGCTCGCTCGCTCGCTCGCGCTCGCTCGCTCGCTGCTGATCGCTCGCTCGCTCGCTCGCTCGCTCGCGGCTCTCGCTCGCTCCTGCTCGCTCGCCCGTCGCTCGCTCGCTCGCTCGCTTCGCTCGCTCGCTCGCTCGCCTCGCTCGCTCGCTCGCCTCGCTCGCTGCTCGCATCGCTACGCTTCGCTTCGCTCGCTCAGCATCGCTCGCCTCGTCCTCCTCGTGCCCTTCCAGTTATTTCTGGCAGGGGCCTTTTATGGCGGCTACGGTGAACTACGTATGCTCTTTAATGCGCTCAATGCCCCCATCGGCCCCGTGGGCTGTTTGGGATAGATTATAGACAGATGTTCAATCATTTCCTTATACAATTTAACCATAAGACGGTAAAACTCGGGAAAATCCGGTTATATCTCCGAGAAGAAATCATGTGATTTCAAATTTAATTCAGCTGTTTCAAATATGTTTACAAAATATTAATTTAAAAGTTATTAATGGAAAAGTTATTTTGCAAACATTTTTCTTTGTTATGGTAGGTAGGTTATTTAGAGGAAATTTAAATTAAACTCATTTTTAATTCAGAAGCAGATGAAATTAAATTAAAATTTTATTATTTTGAAGATATTTAACATTCAATTTAACTGAATTTATCAGGAAATTATATTAACTATATGGAATAAGAATTAAATCTTGGATATTATAAGATGGTGTGATAAAATTACATCCCGATTTTTTAGTAATATTAAAAGTTCTAACTATGGTAGGGTGATCTACTCAACTAGATCTATAAACTTCACTTGGTCACATGTAAAGTATTTGGGAATTAATTATTTCAAAGCTTTGGCTGTAGAAAATAGAAAAGAGAATGGATTAATTATCCTATTAAGCAGATGAGATTGTGTAGCTCTCATCTTCTTTATCATCGTTAAATTATAGTCTTAAAAGTTCTTACCGATCAGTAATCAGTTATAAGTGAGTCTTCACATGTCTTATCACATTAATGTTATCGTCGTTTTAGTGACAATCTTTGACCATATTATCTTAGACACTTGTCCGTACCATACTCAGAAGATACTTTCAAACAATTTCGTAACGAAAAAAATTAGGAGTGCATTCAAGAAGTAAAATATTATAAAACCTAAAAATGCTTATAAAAGCCAAAACATGCCTTTGTTGAGCTAGAAAGTTCAATTTATGAAAAATATTCTTACAGCAACTTTGCGTGTAGCTGGTTCCCTACAAAAATCCACCGAAGTAATGCAGGCAATGCAAAATTTGGTACGCTATCCGGAATTGGCTGGCATAATGCGTGATATGTCCAAAGAAATGATGAAAGCGGGTATTATTGAAGAAATGCTTGAAGAAACTATGGAATCCCTGGAGGAGACTGAGGAAATGGAAGAGGAGGCTGCCAAGGAAGTCGATAAAGTTTTGTGGGAAATCACAAATGGTAAATTGGGTGAAGCTCCCCTACCACCCGATGAGTTGACTCCCGCTGAACAACAAAAAGTACCAGCTGCTGCTGTTGCAGTCACCGCAGATGTGGGTGATGATGATGATGAAGAAGATGACCTACAGGAAATGCAATCACGTTTGGCTTCGTTGCGGTCGTAAGAAAAAAGCTAAGCATTATTGAATCGTCGTGTACTTTTATAAAATTTATCATTTAATTTGTCCATTATTTTATTAAATGGTTTTTATTTAAAATGATATATTTATTTAAATTAATTGTATTTTTTAAGTTTATATTTTATTTGTTAATTTTTTTTTTATAAAATTCTGGTATTAATAATTTTAACTCTGTTTAAAATTCAATCTTTTCTTTCATATATTAAGTATTTAATATCTTTTGATAGTGTAAAAAACCTGAATAAATATTTATTTAAAAAAAAAACTATTTTGATGCTGTTTTTAATAATCAGGCAAAGAGTTTCGATAACGCCGCTCGTAGTATGGATAATGTGTCCAAAAAACTAAAAAAATTTTGAAAACTATTTCTGCTAATTGATGAATTCGCGATAACAAATTTCAAATTTTATTTTCAATTTTGAATTTCAGTGCAAAAGTCTATATAAAATAAGTTTTATTTCAATTTAAAAATAAAACTCAACATAAAGCTATTTCTTTCTACATTTTTTAAAACATCCACTTTAATGTACATTCATATCCCTAATTGTTTAAATTGTAGTGACAGTTATAAAAAATGCTCTGTTAAATACCCGCATATTAAAGTTCAACAAATCGTATTTTAAGGACATTATCATTTTGTCCTTAGTGAATATTGATAAAGGATTTTTATGTGAAAAAAATAATATATTCTTGATTAAGGTTTCACTTGAATACGTCAAGTGCACAAAATATTACTTGAAAAGACCAATTTTAAATATTAAATACAAAAATTATAAAAAAGATAAAAATATCAAGCACAAAATTTTAATAATTTTGGACAAAAGAATCATTAAACCATAAGAAAATATTTGATTTTAGAACAAATATTAAAAAAATTGTAGATGAATGGAAGAGAAAAAGAAAAATCAACAAAAAAATAAAATTCATAGATATTAAAGATTAACGCATAAAATGAGGGGAAAAAATAGGCATAAAAAGACGAAAAATGGTCATATTAAAAAATGTTTATTAAAATATGTCTATCTATTGTATCTAATGCGGGGCAGGACTAGAAGTAATATACGGGTAACTAACTACTAACTAACTAACTAACTAACTAACTAACTAACTAACTAACTAACTACTAACTACTAACTAACTAACTAACTAACTAACTAACTACTAACTAACTAACTAACTACTAACTAACTAACTAACTAACTAACTAACTAACTAACTAACTAACTAACTAACTAACTAACTAACTAACTAACTACTAACTAACTAACTAACTAACTAACTAACTAACTAACTACTAACTAACTAACTAACTAACTAACTAACTAACTAACTAACTAACTAACTAACTAACTAACTAACTAACTAACTAACTAACTAACTAACTAACTACTAACTAACTAACTAACTACTAACTAACTAACTAACTAACTAACTAACTAACTAACTAACTAACTAACTAACTAACTAACTAACTAACTAACTAACTAACTACTAACTAACTAACTAACTAACTAACTAACTAACTAACTACTAACTAACTAACTAACTAACTAACTAACTAACTAACTAACTAACTAACTAACTAACTAACTAACTAACTAACTACTAACTAACTAACTAACTAACTAACTAACTAACTAACTAACTAACTAACTAACTAACTAACTAACTAACTAACTAACTAACTAACTAACTAACTACTAACTAACTACTAACTAACTAACTAACTAACTAACTAACTAACTAACTAACTAACTACTAACTAACTAACTAACTACTAACTAACTAACTAACTAACTAACTAACTAACTAACTAACTAACTAACTAACTAACTAACTAACTAACTACTAACTAACTAACTAACTAACTAACTAACTAACTAACTAACTAACTAACTAACTAACTAACTAACTAAACTAACTAACTAACTAACTAACTAACTAACTAACTAACTAACTAACTAACTAACTAACTAACTAACTAACTAACTACTAACTAACTAACTAACTAACTAACTACTAACTAACTAACTAACTAACTAACTAACTAACTAACTAACTACTAACTAACTAACTAACTAACTAACTAACTAACTAACTAACTAACTAACTAACTAACTAACTAACTACTAACTAACTAACTAACTAACTAACTAACTAACTAACTAACTAACTAACTAACTAACTAACTAACTAACTAACTAACTAACTAACTAACTAACTAACTAACTAACTACTAACTAACTAACTAACTAACTAACTAACTAACTAACTAACTAACTAACTAACTAACTAACTAACTAACTAACTAACTAACTAACTAACTAACTAACTAACTAACTAACTAACTAACTAACTAACTAACTAACTAACTAACTAACTAACTAACTAACTAACTAACTAACTAACTAACTCCTAACTACTAACTAACTAACTAACTAACTAACTAACTAACTAACTAACTACACTAACTAACTACTAACTAACAACTAACTAACTAACTAACTAACTACTACTAACTAACTAACTAACTACTAACTAACTAACTAACTAACTAACTAACACTACTACTAACTAACTAACTAACTAACTAACTAACTAACTAACTAACTAACTAACTACTAACTAACTAACTAACTAACTAACTAACTAACTAACTACTAACTAACTAACTAACTAACTACTAACTAACTACTAACTAACTAACTACTAACTAACTACTAACTAACTAACTAACTAACTAACTAACTACTAACTAACTAACTAACTAACTAACTAACTCACTAACTAACTAACTAACTAACTAAACTAACTAACTACTAACTAACTAACTAACTAACTACTAACTAACTAACTAACTACTAACTAACTAACTAACTAACTAACTAACTAACTAACTAACTAACTATTTACCTAACTAACTAACTAACTACTACTAACTAACTATTTACCTAACTAACTAACTAATTTACATCACAAACTTGGATTTGTTTACCTATTATCATCCTCGATATACATACACATACTTCTTAGATTGTCCTCGTTTAACGACACCCAAATGCTGATTCCACAAATGTTAAACATTTTAGATAAAAACTAAACTTGATGACAAGGTTTTCTTTAAGTCAAGAAAAATACGCAGAAATTTAAATATGAAAACCAACCCAAAATGGTACATACCGAAATATGTAGAACATAAAGCTAATTTGTATTTTTTTTACAAACATTTAAATTTATACTTGTAAGCTTTATGAAACCTTCGCTAAACATAGCCGTCCCCATCTTCAATGAAAATTTTTCACAAATTTGATGTGTTGGCTTAGGTGGCAGCAACAAAAATAAAAAAAATAAAAGTAATAAAAAAAGATGAAGGGACTAACAAGCCAAATTATGGCAATTAAGTGACAGTGTTGCATGCCACAAAATAACGGAAATATGTATGTAATGCTGATTTTTGTATATTGTACATAAAAACACAAGCACAGTCCAGTTGTTTTGAAAGTTGTCAATACATCCATTTTAGACAGTATTTTCTTAAAAAGCACTAAATTATTTGACTCGTATAACAAAACCACCAGATGTAGTCTACTGCAAATGGTAATTTATAACCTAAAATTTAAATGTGGCTGAGGTACAATCATTTGACTTCCGTTTAGGACAAGCTCATGTTAACACAAAAATAACAATTAAAGGGCTTGGACTAAAGGTAACATAGTTTAGTGCGGGTTTCCCACTCAGAACTGCAGAAACGTGTCTAGATCACACAGACATACAACTTTTTTGTTAAATAAGTAAAAAGGGAAAATAATATTTATTGTAAAAACGCGTAATTTAGAGGAAAAATTAAATTAACTTGACGCAACATAATTTAAAAAAGGACCTTTTTTCTTCTTTCTGTTTCTTTCTATTATAAAATTAATAAGAAAATATAAACTGCCATTTGTTTCTTCCAAAAACAATTTGAGGGCTAAAAAAGGGCCTGATAAAAAAACTTATGTTTTATACAAGAAAAATTTATACAAATTTGGTTATTTTTTATTAATGAATATAATTCTACTGCCTATAATTTAAAGCGGCTCCTCATTTAAAACGAATTGCCGCATTCGTAATAAGATAAAATTTATAGTAATTTTCCTATTTTAGATAATGAATTCGATATCGGTTCATAATTAGCCGACCCTACTACAAAAATTCAGAAGACAGTATCCAAGAGAAATTTGTTGATCTTCTTTTAAAGTTAATATACATAACATTCAAATCTTGTTTTGTCGAATTACAACAACAAGATTGTATACATATTTTTTTTGCAATATTCTAATATTTATAACTGATAAAGCTATTGTATTATTTGGATTTGTTGAAGAAAATCATATAAAATCTTTTTCCATTTTTAAACTGTTTTTTTTTCAGTTTAAAAAGTTTGTTTTTCAAAGGGCCTAAATTAAATGAATAGCTTTTTAAGGCCCATTTAATATTGAGTACAGCAAGTAATTGTCATTAAAAAGTTTAAAAATAACGGTCAATAATAATAAATAATATCTTGTATACATTTATTAAACTCAGAAAAATAACCGCTTATTACAAAAATTTGGGTTTTAATTAATTTATGAGGATGTTCAAATAACAAATCGTTAGCTTAGTACGTAAACGTGCCTAGTCCTATTCAATAAATTCTACAGACCCACAAAATAATATGTATTCCTGGTCCTTATTAGATTCTAAGACGATTTAGTCATGTCCGTCTGTCTGTTGAAAACGCTATAGATAGTTATCCTCAGTAAACGACTATAACGCAGATAACTGAAAAAGCTCGTATAGCAATGAAATTCGACACAAACAAGTTTTATAGGAACTAAATTCGACACGAATAAGATTGATGGAAAGCTAAATGACACTGTCAAACTTTATGAGAATCGGTTCATAATTGACCTACCCTCCATAGTATTTGACTATAACACATATAACTTCCTTTAACGCTCATAACTTCCTACAAAATTCCAGTATAGCAACGAAATTCTACATTTAAATATTTTATAG